TTCAAGGCCGAGTGTAGTTCTACTTTAAAAAAATCTTCACTCAAAGGGTGTTTGCCGCATCCCCCCCCCCCCCCCCCCCATAATTTTTGAGGGTGAGCCTTGAGCACTGCTTTAAGTAGAGATCAGTGCTTGATGCCGTGCATATTTTGGGGGTTGAATTACAGGCAAGCAGTAAATGTACACTAATAATAAATGACTATTGTTGGCCACGCGTGTTCTGGGCACCCCTGGTAGACAGCATAGTTAGGTTGCTGACATTTTCCCACTTCAGTTTAAAGTGGCCTCAGATTCCTTCTCTCAGCTCCCTCCAGCAAGGTACACTTAAATTACATCTAAAGCCCAAGAACAAAAAGGTAATATATTGCAGCCTACTATTCTTCAGATGTGGTGGCTGAAATTATTTTATTATTTTTTCAGACAAAGTACATATTCTGCAAGCTCATAAATACCCGCTGATCCTGACAGATTTTGTATCCTTGTAACTTCCTGAACATTGAACTAAAAATTCCAAACAGTGTTGGCTTTCCAAACTATCTTCTGTGAACTACACAATCCTGCCAACAGGGAAGGGTTTGTGGTCCACATCAGAAGAGCTGCCTAGGAGGATGACAATTCTGCTGTTTTCAGTTGTAAATTAAATCAAGTCCCTAGGGATCAATTCACACTTGTGCAACTTTAACATCATGCAATTGTAATTGCGACTTTACAGTGCGGCTTTGAATGAGTGTGACTTTGGCTTTGACCAAGAGTGATTGGTTGTGCTCTACCAAGTTGAATGCATATCAGTCAGGTGCGACCTACATGAAACTTTGGAGGGTTTATATTGAAGTCTATGGTCCTCAAGTCACATGAAAGTTTGAACAAAGTAGTGCAGTAACTACTTTAAGTCGCTACGACTTGAAGTCGCACATATATGAATGGTACTCATTGGGAAACCTGGGGTGTGACTTTCGACCTCAAAGTCGCATGACAGGTCGAACAAGTGTGAATGGGCTCTAATTGTGTTTGCTTTATTTGCCATAAATCCAAGGAACTCACCCAGTAGTATATTTAATATTCCTTTACTAAATGATAATGCTCTGTATATAAACTATTTACAGTTACAAGGACGTAATTCCAGACATAGAGTGCTACAAATAAGCGTATATTCATGTGCTGCCAATCTTTTTCTTAGAAGTGCACAAGAATGTATGCAGTAGGGATACATCTGCATAGCTTCCATTCTAGTTGGTTGGGATATTTGCAGGAAACATCATTTTAGGGACTTCAAGTGATTGTAGGTCAGTGGGTTCTTGGTCACGCAGTCTTTCTATTTCTTGTAGTGTGGCACGTAGTGCTCTCCTTTGGTGGAGTCTTCTATTCACCTTGTGCTGCTGGCCTTTTTACCTTGAAAGTTTGCTAGCCTTTTCAGATTGGGTTCCTATATCTGTTTTTGAGGGATACATTTTTGTCTACAGACTCCAGATGGCAGCATAGTACCATAAATGCTATAGGTCAAATATGTCAAAAGGTCAGCTATTGATTCTTTTTGGCAGAATTACAATCGGACTTGAGTCTAGTGATAAGCGTGCCTCTAAAACCATGGGATCAGCTAATAATGTGTACTTTCCTAGACAATGGTTTACATTGCCCACATATATCCCAATAATATATCATTTCCAATAGCAGAACTAGTTGTCCAAATACTGCTTGATTTAACAATCGCATGTTTTTCAGAAAGCTCCCCACAAGACAATTTGATGTTTTTTTAACAAAACTGAACTTTGTTGTGTCTGAGATACACACACTGACATAATACACATCCGAGGACAGGAAGGGTGTTACTGGTAGGGTCATCTGTGGGGAAAAAACCTTAAATGCAGGCATCACACTGAAGAGCTGGTAAGCAGCAATATAGCATTTTTCTTTTTTGGATTTAGATACGTTAACCTTTCCCAGAACTCTTTGAGGTGCAGCCTGTTCCTTACATGCAGCATGTATTTGAAAAATGTCACTTTCAGGTTCTGCTTTTCAGGTGTATGTGCACCACAGTCTCCATTCTAAGGGAGTGTTTGTGCTCTGCTTGCCCCGCAGAAGACTTTTTTAAAGCCCCATTCTGGGCGAAAACTATTTTTTCCACAACCCTTCTTTTCACCTGCCTCTACCTTTCATCCTTGCTTTGTAAAGCCAGATATACTGACAAACGTTCCCTCTCAAGATATCGCAATGCCACCGTTCTGAATATAGTACTGTGATGCCCCATTGAAACTGCCAGTCCCTCCACTCCCCTTTGCAGATGTGCTTCTATTTGATCTTGACAGGACCCCTGCGACAGGCCTCTATAGGAGGTGTCAACCAGGCAATTTTCTTTTTCTTTTTTAGCGATTTTGGGAGGGGGGTGATTTTTCTACTGGAGTTGGGCTTAGAACAAGATGTGCACTGATCAACAGCACAGCAAAGATCTTGTGTTGGTGCTGGGATGAGTGTGTGCCTTGTCTGGAGGATGGCATCTGAGGACACTTAAGTGGAAAGCTAGTCATACGTGGCTAGAACTCTGGCAAATTAAAATAAATAAAATAAAATGGAGCCAGGTAGAAAATTTTCGGCCAGACAGTGACTGCCTCGAATTAGGTGCAGTCCCTGCTCAAGGCATTCAAGCAGTTGAGATTCCTCCATTGGTGGTGTTTATCGTGGATCGATAGATATTTTGGTATGGGTAACTCAAGTCTTCTAAAAAGGAAATTGCTTAATTACCAGCTTGGCAGTGAAAAGTGCAACTAAAGGTAAAACTTTTTTTTTAATTTTTTTAGTTTTCGATAGAATGAAGAGGGAGTAGATAGATAGAACACGTGTCATTTTCGTTTTCTGTGCCCTCATTGGGGAGATGCATGCTTTTTTTTTGTCCAGTTTTTAATGTTATCGAAAGTGAAATTAAAACAGAACTCCAAATTTTGGGTTGATCAGAGCACTAAGGGGAAATCTTCCAATAGAGAAATTAGTTCTGGTGACCCTGATTCCCTCCACTTTGGAGGGATTTCCTCTCACCTTTTTGTTTTAGCTGTGAGTCAGGAAGTGAGGGGAAATCTCCCCAAAGGGACACAGGTGGAAATAAGCCAATAGGGGGTATAACCCTCCCTTGCTCTATCCAAAATGAAAAAATAGTTTTTGCCTATAGTTACACATGAATGAGCGGAATCAAATGGGTAGTATTTTAACCAGTGTCAAGGAATGTTCATATTCACTTTAATCTAGCCTTAAAAACTAGTATGTTATCCCAACATTAAATATTCTTCATACGTTTCTCGTCTGTTGCACTGAATAACTGGTTACAGTGCAGTCAGAGCCTTCTGTAACCATGAATAATTGTTTGAACCACACTGGCCCAAACTCATTTTTAATAGAGAAGCCAAACATGGAGTCCTAATTTAACTTTAATAGTGCATGCATAGGAATGAAATGTAGAACCTGATATATGGCAGAATAAGGAAGATTTTTTTTTTTTTTTTTGGCACAACTGGGGTCATGTCTGTAGAATCTATTGATGTCTGTGGTGAGGATGTACATGTAAAAGTACATGTACTTGCCTTCCACAGTTTCCTTATGAACAAACAGTGGTTTCCTTTACTGCTGCTGTTTTGTTAGTTGAAGGACTTAAGGCCTAACCAGCAAGACACAGTGGCTGATGTGGAATCCTGCAGTTATAGCTAAGCATGTCTTAAGAGCTGCAGAACTGAAGCCCTCTTCTGAATAAGCCCTGGTTCACACTAGAACACGCTTGTGAACTGCATACCTGTGCAACGCACATGCGATTCAGTGTAGTTTCATTTTGGTTCATTTTGAATGGGTTCAAATCGCACCAAAGACCTGCAGGCACCTTTTTTGAAGCTGTACTGAAACTGGATCATATGGTCATTTTGGACCTTTAGATCCAGTGCAGGCAAACTGCCTGGCGTTTGCAATCCTTTTGGGTTGTCAACTTTGTATTGATACCTGCATCAGATCGCAAATGCAGTGCAATTGCGTTGTGGGAAATACGCAGCGATTGTGGCGTTTCCCGCTTCGCATAGGCGTGAACCTGGGCTAAATGGGAAATGTCTGCTTTTCCTTAACCTTCCTAGCTGTAATCTGAGTGTGGCTCGGGGTTAATTTACAATACCAAAAGTGGTAACCCCGAGCCACTCTCTGGATTACACTGTAGTCCTTGCCCTGCGATCCCCAGATGTCCTCCTGCTGTGTCCTATGGCCGATGCTGGCATCCGTCTTCCGGGTTCCCTTCCCTGTGAGAGTCACGACGCAGGGGGCAGAACCGGAGGGAGATTCAAAAAAAGTGAAAACATGACATACACAGAATACATTGTAATCTGTTAGGATTACATTACTGTATCAAACCATTTCACCCTAATGTTTTGTCCAGTGCCCTGCCTGCACTTTTACCGTTCTTTCTGCCTGGAAACATGAACGTCCATGGCATCCAAAAAGCATCCCTTTAGGTCAAAAGTGGTTTTAGACCAGCTAGAAAACAGCGATAGTGAAATAGAATCCCTTCCAGAATTGAGCGATGATTTGTGGGGAAATTTGTCGTCAGACATTGAAAGTGACAGCGACAATTCTGCGACTGAGCTCAGTGATGTGCGAACTTGGTGCTCCATTTCAAATTTCATTGTTTTTGGTTTGATTACATTATTGAATTTTATTATTTGTTTTCATATTTCAAACTTTATCATACCGGGGATGTTTACCAAATTCTTGTTTTGGACAGATTTGACATTCAAAAATATTGACATAATTAGACCACAAGGGAGGTTAAAACCCCTTCTAAGCCGATAAAGGATCCCCTGTATCAGAACCCACATCTGCACAGCCTTCTTCCCTTACATTAAGAGTGATGACCTTGTAAGGTGTTTGTTGTTTTTTGCCAAAAATTTTACAATTGCATATTCAAGAATTGTAGTTTTAGTACTACAAAACTCATTATGTCTGTGTTTTTTTTTTTTTTTTTTTCTCATTCAGAACCATTAGCCATGGATAAAAGCGAGCTGGTCCAGAAGGCCAAATTGGCTGAGCAGGCAGAGAGGTACGATGACATGGCAGGCTGCATGAAACGAGTGACGGAACAAGGAGCTGAACTATCCAATGAGGAGAGGAACCTTCTCTCAGTGGCCTACAAAAATGTAGTAGGTGCACGCCGGTCGTCCTGGAGAGTCGTCTCTAGTATTGAGCAAAAGACAGAAGGAAGTGATAAAAAACAGCAAATGGCTCGGGAGTATCGAGAGAAGATTGAGACTGAGCTGAGGGATATTTGTAACGATGTTCTGGTGAGAATATTTACCTGAATATGTGAATCATTTTTAGAGCAGCACTAGCATACTGTACTAACACTAAGGGTACTTGCACAGGTACTGAAGTATGAACAGTAGTATTCCTGGCCAAAATTGTTGAGTTTGTGTGTACACATGCAGCAAAATCAGGCTTTAAGAATGTAATTCTAACCTCTTCAGATTAACATTTAATGCACATTTTCATGTAAAATACTGACTGGCTAGATTTGGTGGATGTGGTGTTTGTTTTTTGTTTTTTTTTTACACTCCTGTGTGTACAGGCAGATTGAAAACCATGAGCTGCATTTAGAGCCGTAGAAAAAAAAAAACAAAAACCTGTATGCCTAAAGACGCTGAGTTTTTAGGCAGCAGTGTGCAAGAGATCTAATAGACCAACCTCGCACAACCAATTAAACTCCTTTTAGTGAGGCCTGTACAAGATTTGATTGGAGTAGTTGCTATGGACTGAACTTTGTGTTTTTGACTGATGTGAATGTACAGTATATATGTAAAGTGCTCCATAAATTGAGGGTGCTATATAAGTACCTGTAATAATTAAGTCCTTTATTTATATACCTCTGTAATTGCACACCTCATAGAAGTCTTGAAGGGATTTGCCAGATACAGAGAAGAGGATTTACACAGTGCTGGGGGAGGGGTCATGAGGGAAAACCGTGTACAAAGGTCATTCGCTGTATGGCAATATAAATACCTACGCAATGGCTCAAGCGTGAACCTAGCCTTAAACTGAGCAAATGGAATAGATGCATACTTTATCCTATTTACTAACCCTGTTTTCACTCACCTGGGATCCTCCTTATTGTGCTCCTCTGCTAGTTATTGGTATAGTATACTGATGGGATGCTTTCATTGCAATTTAGCGTGATGGCTTGTCTGTCTTGCATGCTAAGAATTAACTTGATTTGAGTAGATATGAGTGTGACCACTGAAGCCTTGTATAAGCCTTAATATGTCTCTTTTTAAAAAGTGGTTTTCAGTATTTTTAAATGTGTATATGTAATTCATCCCTGGTTCACACTGCTGTGACTTCACACACAACTTGCTGTGCCGTGCAACACAAAGTTGAATGACCACTAAAAACACTTTTTCAATGGCTTCCATCTTAATTGCTGTGACTCAAGTTGCAGCGACAAAAAGTTCCTGCACTACATTTCTGCATCTTCCTTGTGACTCGAGTGCCATAGACAATGTTAAAGTCATAAAAGTCGCAAGGAAGTAGTTTTTGTCTTACTGTGTGACTTCAGAGGGTTTTGTAAGTTTCAATAATATGTCACACTTTGTATTGTTGTGATTAGCCAACGTCATAAAACATCAATGTCTCATTGAAGTTGCATCAATTCACAATGCAAAGTTGCACCGGAAGTCGCACGAGTTTGGGATCGCAGCAGTGTGAACCGAACCCAATACCTGATGATCCTACCTTTTTAAAGATCCTTGTCCAGACACTTCCTGAGGATGACAACTATCTCCCAACTGGGTTCTTGCTTTGGTACCCCGTCACATGGTACCTCTGATGGGAGACTACAAGTGCCGCACTGTAACACGTTGCACAGGCATGGGCCACTGTTCTAAAGCTTGTTCTGACATGATTTCATACAGGCAGGAAGTGCCTGAAAGAGGCAGGAGATGATTAGCAAAGGGTGAGCACTGTATTTCATTAAAAAATGCCTTGCCAATTATTTATAATACATAAGTGCTTTAGTAAACTAAATGTCATTCAGTTAGGGTTAACATCGAATGTGAACTTTTACATTTTGGGGCTGTTCTTACCATTGCGGTTTGGTATCACATGGTGTGTGTGTTGGTGCACTGTGGTACCATGTAGGACAGCTTCTTCTTTTGAAAAACAGACTCGCTGGCCAGATCACCACGTGAAGAAAGGAAAGACCAAAAAAAAAAAAAAACCTAATGAAAGTACATGGCTGTTGGTGAAAAGGTGAAACAGGAAAACAGAGTGATCACTATGCGGCAGTGAAAGAAACTTGTGCATACTTGTCTTTTGAGTCGTCTTTTAGCATTTAGTCTTCTGGTATGCTCAAAAAGACAAATGGGAAACTCTCTTCCTTTTATTGCTGTTTCCTGGTTCCTCTAAACATGTCTGGAATCATCATTGTGGTGCCATGCCAGCCTCGTATGCAGTATTTTCCTGTTTTGTGGTGTGAATGGTTTATATTGAAAGTACTCCTTGTGACCGGATCAGAGTTGATCCTATTTAAATTTCCATGCTCATTATCTGTTACTAGACTGGTATGAGTGACTGCATTGCTTGTTTTTGCAGAAGACGTGTCATTTTGTATTGTACTTTCATCCCCTAGTAGTGGCCAGCTTGATCAAATGGGGGGGGGGGGGTTAAAAGCAGAGCAGTTATGAATGCTTGTTGTTACAAATTGTACATGTTTTGTCTACACATTAGAAAATCGTTGAAGCTTCTCATTCCCCCCCTTTGTCAGGTAACCTTACATGGCTTGAGCTTTTGGCCGATTCCAGACCATATTTTAAGCTGTGTGTGGCCCTGCTGGCATCACCCGGGTTAACAAACATTAAATGAAAAATCAAGGGAGCTGAGTGGAAATTTGTTTGCTGAACTACATCCAATCAAATGAAGTTGTATTTCAGTTCTGCAACTGTCTGAATACAATAGATTGCCAACCAAACTAAAAATGGTATTGTGCAATCGAATCATTTCTACAAGTTTTATGACTAGCCTTAGCCAAGAGTGTAAATCCAAAAAAGCTTACTACCTTTGTTAACATACAAAGCTGTTTCAGGGCCTTGCAGCACAAGGGGCATTTGGAGATGAACAGGTCCACCACCTAGGGCCAATCAGCACCTATGTACAGACGATTGTGCCTATTAAAAACCCTGTCACATGCATTATTTACACACTTCTACTACTTTTTTTTTTTTTTTTTTTTTGGAGTTGCGCTAGTTTAGGGATGGAAAGTTTGTGTTCACTGTTGATAACAACAGCCTTAATAGGAATGAATGGCTTTTTTTGTATGTCCTGCAAAATATGAAAAAACTGGACCCCTCATGGCACACCCAATTGTAAAGTGTAGTTAGTCGCTTGTTTGTATTGCAAATGGAACTGGCAGTTTACAAGCTGGGTAGAATGCTTTCTAGATTGGGCATGTAGTACTAAACTGTGACCTATTGGCTGTGATTTTTTTTTTTTAATGGGTATTACTAATGTGTGGCACATGGGCACCAAAGGTAGAGCTTGGCTCAGGTTACTAGGGACTCATCCTGACACCAGACATGAGTGTAGTGCACCATGAGCAGGTCAAATGAACATCTTCAGTCCCCAAGCACCTCCCTCACCACCAGGACAGCTGTTAAAGTGATATTAAGGGCAAGCTGTTTTTTTTTTTTTTTTTTTTCCCCTCCTTTAAATAACAAACATATACTTGCCTGCTCTGTGCAGTAGCTTTGCATGGAGCAGCCCCGATCCTCCTCTTTTGGGTCCCCTGCTGCTGCTTCTTGTCCCTCTCCTGCCAAGTGCCCCCGAGCAAACGGTTTCCTATAGGGGTACCCAAGCAGGCTCACTCCCGAGCGGCTGCTTTGCATGTCCATTTACACACAGAGCCATGTCTTGGCCCTGCCCCTTCTCTCTCCTCATTGGCTCACTGGCTGTGATTGCCATTGACTCCTGCTGCTGTCTAAGCCAAGGAGGAGGGAGAGTCCCTGGAGAGCTGAGGCTCCTGTGCACATTGCTGGATCGCAATGGGGCTCTGGTAAGGATTGGGGGTTGGGGGCTGCTGCACATAGGTCTTCTGTGGTTTTCATGCATTCTATTCATGAAGGTAAAAAACCTTGAGCCTTTAGAACCACTTTAGTTACTGGGCAGAATGGTTTCCCATGCAATTCTGTATGAAGAGCCTGTGTATATGAACCCTTAACATGAGCAGTAGAATCTGGTGTTGTAGGTTTTCAAATATTTCTGTTCATACTGCTTTAAGGTGGTCAGTTATGCAGGAACAGGTAGTCACTTTTTCCTGCCTTTTTTATTTTCATTCTTAATGGCATCCCCACACATCTAGCAAACGCGTGCACCTTCCTGCCTGCCATAACACATGATAGGGCAGTACCATGCATTTTGGTGCAGCACAGTTTTAAAAATTGTGCCAGCACCTATTTTGCTCATTTAGGGATATTCTAGTCAATGAAGACGGACACAGATCTGGAACCTTGTAGAATACTTCTTTGGAAAAAACAGGCGGCTCTAAACATGACACGTGGGAACACACAAAAAAAGCATGCGCCTGAGACGCACCTCCTGGTGTGAACCACCCCTGAACCTCTAGATCATTTGATGGTGGGACCTTCCTAAAAAACATTCTTAATCAGCTTGGCTAGGATGTACTGAGAAGGTGTAGGTGCAATCGGTTCTAATTGTTGCATGACTGCATTTTCACAGAGAGCAGGAACGTGTTTTAATAAGTCTTCTTGCTGTTTCCATGTTGGTCAAAAAAACTATTCAGACTTGTTATCTGGGGCTGAAAATGAATGCAAAATGTTCATGTGTTACTGTTCTTTGGACTCAAGACACATAAAAGTAAACAAAAAAGACCTGAGCTGCTCTTAACATGCTGCAGCACACATGTGGACAGGCTTTATCTATAACATTGCCTTGTAGCGAAAATGCTTACGATTTCAGAGTGTTGCAAGTGTCTTTTTGCTGAGCTCAGAGATGGTGTGCCAGTGTCCACAACAGTGTGAATAATCTGATGATCCAGATAATGACATTATCCACACTTGAAGTTATTCACAGACCAACCACCCAGGGCAGATCTCTCAGTGAGAGTGACTGGTAGTGACAGACCTGCTGGTGCTCCGTTGGATCGCTGTACCACAAAGATGTGCTTTTCTTGTCTGTTACTCTACCGCGAACACGATACGGTACACAAGTGGTGAAGGTGCCTGCCCATTATATGGGGAAAGGAACTGTTCTATGGTAGGGGGTTTTGGTTTTTAAA